AAAGATGGTACACTGAACCTCCACATAACCCCGCAGAAAAAGAAGCCAGGTAAATAACACCACTAACCCCCGCGGAAGAAGCCCTGGTACACTGTAAAAACTCACATAACCCCCCCGGAAACAAGCCATGGTACACTGTAACACTCCACACTAACCCAGCAGAGAAGCAAGCCATGGTACACTGTAACACCCCACACTAACCCAGCAGAGAAGCAAGCCATGGTACACTGTAACATCCCACACTAACCCAGCAGAGAAAAGCCAGGTACCTGTAACACTCCACTAACCCCGCAGAGAAGCAACCATGGTCATGTTAACACCCCACCTAACCCAGCAAGAAGCAAGCATGGTTTTACTGAAAAACTCCCCCACTAACCAGCGAGAAGAAGCCTGGACACGGGAAAACCCCCAATAACCCCGCAAGAGAAAAACCGGTACTGTTAAAAACCCACACTAACCCCGCAGAGAACAAGCCAGGCATGAAACCCCACACTAACCCAAGAGAAGCAAACCATGTCACTGTAACCCCCACACTAACCCCGCAGGAAGCAAAACCCTGGTACACTGTAAATCCCTAAACCCCAGGAAACAAGCCCTGGTTACAAGAAATCCCCATAACCAGCAGGAAACAAGCCATGGGACTGTAACACCCCCAAACCCCGCGGAAGAAAAACCATGGACCTGTAACCCAAAACTAAAGCAGGAAAACCAGGTACACGTAAACCCCCACACTAACCCCGCATGAAAACAAGCCTGGTACACTTAAATCACACAACCCAGCAGGAAAGCAGGCCCTGGGACCTGTAAAATAAAAACAAAACCCCAGGAACAACCTGGTACAGTAACACCCCACATTTAACCCCCCAGGAAGCAAATTTTGGGTTTTCCCCATAAAGCAGGAAAAAATGGTTTTCCCGCCCCCCCTTCCCCGAAAGGGAAACCCTGGTCCTTAAAATCCCCTAACACAGAAACAACGGTCCTTTTCCTCCCCACTAAACCGCAGGAAGCAAGATGGGAAATGAAAAACCCAATCCCCAGCGAGAAAAACCATGGACCTGTCCTCCCCTCCCGAAAGCCTGGGACCTGTCATCCCCCGCAGGAAGCAACATGGTTCCTGAACCCTTTTCCCATAACCAGGAAACAACCTCCCCCCAAATCCCTCCCCCCGGAAGCAGCAAAGGGACTTTTAACCCCCCACTCCCAGCGGGGGCAACCATGGCCAACATCCCCAAAACCCGCGAGAAAAGGTACACGTAACACTCCACACTAACCCAGCAGAGAAACAAGCCATGGTACACTGTAACACCCCACACTAACCCAGCAGAGACCTCAGCGTACTGGTGTTGTGTGTGCTCTCATATATATGGTTGCTGGAGTCGAATTATAGCTCCTGGCCCCGCCTCTTCACTGATCGCTACTGGGTCCTCTCCCTCTCTGCTTCCTGAGCTGTATCATACCTCTTCTTAAAACTATGTATGGTTCCTGCCTCCACTACTTCACTTGCTAGGCTATTCCACTGCCTGACGACTCTGTGACTGAAGAAATACTTCCTAACGTCCCTGTGACTCGTCTGAGTCTTCAGCTTCCAGTGTGACCCCCTTGTCCCTGTGTCCCCTCTCTGGAACATCCTATCTCTGTCCACCTTGTCTATTCCCCGCAGTATCTTGTATGTCGTTATCATGTCTCCCCTGACCCTTCTGTCCTCCAGTATCGTCAGTCCGATTTCCCTCAACCTTTCCTCGTACGACATTCCCCTGAGCTCTGGGACTAGCCTTGTTGCAAACCTTTGTACTTTTTCTAACTTCTTGACGTGCTTGACCAGGTGTGGGTTCCAGACTGGTGCTGCATACTCCAGTATGGGCCTAACATACACAGTGTACAGTGTCTTGAACGATTCCTTATTAAGGTATCGGAACGCTATTCTCAGGTTTGCCAGGCGCCCGTATGCTGCAGCAGTTATTTGGTTGATGTATGCCTCCGGTGATGTGCTCGGTGTTATGGTCACCCCAAGGTCTTTCTCCCTGAGTGAGGTCTGTAGTCTTTGTCCACCTAGCCTATACTCTGTCTGCGGTCTTCTTTGCCCCTCGCCAATCTTCATGACTTTGCATTTGGCAGGATTGCGCGCGCGCGTGCGTGTGTGTGTGTGTGTGTGTGTTTGTGTGTTTTTGTGTGTTTCTGTGTGTGTTTGTGTGTGTGTGTAGTAACATTTGTTACTGCAGGATGATAGTAACTGTGTTGTCACTGCAGGATGATAGTAACAGTGTTGTCACTGCAGGATGATAGTAACAGTGTTGTCACTGCAGGATGATAGTAACAGTGATGTCACTGCAGGATGATAGTAACAGTGTTGTCACTGTAGGATGATAGTAACAGTGTTGTCACTGCAGGATGATAGTAACAGTGTTGTCACTGCAGGATGATAGTAACAGTGTTGTCACTGCAGGATGATAGTAACAGTGATGTCACTGCAGGATGATAGTAACAGTGTTGTCACTGCAGGATGATAGTAACAGTGTTGTCACTGCAGGATGATAGTAACAGTGTTGTCACTGCAGGATGATAGTAACAGTGTTGTCACTGCAGGATGATAGTAACAGTGTTGTCACTGCAGGATGATAGTAACAGTGTTGTCACTGCAGGATGGTAGTAACAGTGGTGTCACTGCAGGATGATAGTAACTGTTGTCACTGCAGGATGATAGTAACAGTGTTGTCACTGCTGGATAATTGTAAGTGTTGTCACTGCAGGATGATAGTAACAGTGTTGTCACTGCTGGATGATAGTAACAGTGGTGTCACTGCAGGATGATAGTAACAGTGGTGTCACTGCAGGATGATAGTAACAGTGTTGTCACTGCAGGATGATAGTAACTGTTGTCACTGCAGGATGATAGTAACAGTGTTGTCACTGCTGGATAATTGTAAGTGTTGTCACTGCAGGATGATAGTAACAGTGTTGTCACTGCTGGATGATAGTAACAGTGGTGTCACTGCAGGATGATAGTAACAGTGGTGTCACTGCAGGATGATAGTAAGTGTTGTCACTGCAGGATGATAGTAACTGTTGTCACTGCAGGATGATAGTAACAGTGGTGTCACTGCAGGATGATAGTAACAGTGTTGTCACTGCAGGATGATAGTAACAGTGTTGTCACTGCAGGATGATAGTAACAGTGTTGTCACTGCAAGATGATAGTAACAGTGTTGTCACTGCAGGATGATAGTAATAGTGTTGTCACTGCTGGATTATAGCAGTGTTGTCACTGCTGGATGATAGTAACAGTGTTGTCACTGCTGGATGATAGTAACAGTGTTGTCACTGCAGGATGATAGTGTTGTCACTGCTGGATGATAGTAACAGTGTTGTCACTGCTGGATATTAGTAACAGTGTCACTGCTGGATGACAGTAACAGTGTTGTCACTGCAGGATGATAGTAACAGTGTTGTCATTGTAGGATGATAGTAACAGTGTTGTCACTGCTGGATGATAGTAGCAGTGTTGTCACTGCTGGATGATAGTAACAGTGTTGTCACTGCAGGATGATAGTAGCAGTGTTGTCACTGCAGGATGATAGTAAGAGTGTTGTCACTGCAGGATGGTAGTAACGGTGTTGTCACAGCAGGATGATAGTAACAGTGTTGTCACTGCTGGATTATAGCAGTGTTGTCACTGCTGGATGATAGTAACAGTGTTGTCACTGCAGGATGATAGTAAGTGTTGTCACTGCTGGATTATAGCAGTGTTGTCACTGCTGGATGATAGTAACAGTGTTGTCACTGCTGGATGATAGTAACAGTGTTGTCACTGCAGGATGGTAGTAACAGTGTTGTCACTGCAGGATGGTAGTAACAGTGTTGTCACTGCAGGATGATAGTAACAGTGTTGTCACTGCAGGATGATAGTAACAGTGTTGTCACTGCTGGATGATAGTAACAGTGTTGTCACTGCAGGATGGTAGTAACAGTGGTGTCACTGCAGTATGATAGTAACAGTGTTGTCACTGCATGACGATAGCAGCGTTGTCACTGCAGGATGATAGTAACAGTGTTGTCACTGCTGGATAATTGTAAGTGTTGTCACTGCAGGATGATAGTAACAGTGTTGTCACTGCAGGATGATAGTAACAGTGTTGTCACTGCTGGATGATAGTAACAGTGTTGTCACTGCTGGATGATAGTAGCAGCGTTGTCACTGCAGGATGATAGTAACACTGTTGTCACTGCTGGATGATAGCAGTGTTGTCACTGCATGATAGTAACAGTGGTGTCACTGCAGGATGATAGTAACAGTGTTGTCACTGATGTATAATCGTAAGTGTTGTCACTGCAGGATGATAGTAACATTGGTGTCACTGCAGGATGATAGTAACAGTGTTGTCACAGCAGGATAGTGTTGTCACTGCTGGATGGTAGTAACAGTGTTGTCACTGCAGGATGATAGTGTTGTCACTGCTGGATGGTAGTAACAGTGGTGTCAATGCTGGATGATAGTAACAGTGGTGTCACTGCAGGATGATAGTAACAGTGTTGTCACTGCTGGATAATCGTAAGTGTTGTCACTGCAGGATGATAGTAACAGTGGTGTCACTGCAGGATGATAGCAGTGTTGTCGCTGCTGGATGGTAGTAACAGTGGTGTCACTGCTGGATGATAGTAACAGTGGTGTCACTGCAGGATGATAGTAACAGTGTTGTCACTGCTGGATAATCGTAAGTGTTGTCACAGCAGGATGATAGCAGTGTTGTCACTGCAGGATGATAGTAACAGTGGTGTCACTGCAGGATGATAGCAGTGTTGTCACTGCTGGATGGTAGTAACAGTGTTGTCATTGCAGGATGATAGTAACAGTGGTGTCACTGCAGGATGATAGCAGTGTTGTCACTGCTGGATGGTAGTAACAGTGTTGTCATTGCAGGATGATAGTAACAGTGGTGTCACTGCAGGATGATAGTAACAGTGTTGTCACTGCTGGATGGTAGTAACAGTGTTGTCACTGCAGGATGGATGGCGTGGATGGCGGCGGGTCTGGCGGCGGCGGTGGCGGCGCCGCTACGGGTGATCCACTGGCCACCGTAAGCAGCGACGGCGGCAGTGGCAGTAGTGGCAGTAGCGGCGGTGGCAGTGCCATGCCAGCAGTGTCTACAGTGTACGTCACTATTCCTCAAAGCAGCAGTGCCATCACTGCCGGAGGTGCCAAGGGTGTGAGTAATATTATTATTATTATTATTATTATTATTATTATTATTATTGTTACTGTAATTATTACTATTGTTATTATAATTATTATATCATTATAGCTTACGTATTATCCTCTGTTTGTGTGTGTGTGAGAGAGAGAGAGAGAGAGAGTGAGAGAGAGAGAGAGAGAGAGAGAGAGAGAGAGAGAGAGAGAGAGAGAGAGAGAGAGAGAGAGAGAGAGAGAGAGAGGAGAGAGAGAGAGAGAGAGAGAGAGAGAGTATTCACCTAATCGTGATTGCTGGGGTCGAGACTCAGCTTCTGGCTCCGCCTCTTCACTGGTTGCTACTAGGTCCTCTCTCTCCCTGCTCCATGAGCTTTATCATACCTCGTCTTAAAACTATGTATGGTTCCTGCCTCAACTACGTCACTTTCTAGTCTATTCCACTTCCTGACAACTCTATGGCTGAAGAAATACTTCCCAACATACCTTTGACTCGTCTGAGTCTTCAGTTTCCAATTGTGACCCCTTGTTTCTGTGGAACATCCTGTCTTTGTCCACCTTGTCAATTCCTTGCAGTATTTTATATGTCATTACACTATCAACCCTGATCCTCCTGTCCTCCAGTGTCGTCAGGCCAATTTCCCTTAACTATTCTACATAGGCCAATTCACTTAGCTCTGGGACTAGTCATGTTGCAAACCTTTGCACTTTCTCTAATTTCTTGACGTGCTGCACCAGGTGTAGATTCCAAACTGGTGTTGCATACTCCAGTATGGGCCTTAGTGAGGTATCAGAACGATATTCTTAGGTTTGCCAGGCGCCCATATGCTGCAGCAGTTATCTGGTTGATGTGTGCCTCAAGAGATGTGCTCAGTATTACACTCGCCCCAAGATCTTTCTCCTTGAGTGAGGTTTGCAGTTTTTGGCCGCCTAGACTATACTCTGTCTGCGGTCGTCTTTGCCCTTCCTCGATCTTCATGACTTGGCATTTGGCGGGGTTATGTTCGAGGAGCCAGTTGCTGGACCATGTGTCCAGTCTGTCCAGGTCTCTTTGTAGTCCTGCCTGATCCACATCTGATTTAATTCTCCTCATTAACTTCACATCATCTGCGAACAGGGACACTTCTGAGTCTATCCCTTCCATCATGTCATTCACATATACCAATAATAGCACTGGTCCTAGGACCGACCCCTGTGGGACCCCGCTCATCACAGGCGCCCACTGAGATACCTCATGTACCATGACTCGTTGTTGCCTCCCTGTCGGGTATTCTCTCATCCATTATAGTGCCCTTCCTGTTATACGTACCTGATCCTCTAGCTTCTGCAGTAATCTCTTGTGAAGAACTGTATCATAGGCCTTCTTGCAGTCCAAGAAAATGCAATCGACCTACCCCTCTCTCTCGTATCTTCTGTTACGTTGTCGTAAAACTCCAGTAGGTATGTGACAGGATTTGCCTTCAATGAATCCGTGCTGGTTGTCGTTTATAATATTGTTCCGTTCCAGGTGCTCCACCACTCTCCTCCTGATAATTTCCATAACTTTGCATACTGTACACGTCGGTGACACTGGTCTATAATTTAGTGCCTCGTTTCTGTCTCCTTTCTTAAAAATGGGAACTACATTTGCCGTCTTCCGTACCTCAGGTTGTTGCCCAGTTTCAAGGGATGTGTTGAAGATTGTGGTTAGTGGCACACACAGCATCTCTCTAAGGACCCGCAGAGAGATGTCCGGTCCCATCGCCTTTGAGGTATCAAGGTCACTCAGCAGCTTCTTCACCTCCTTCTCGGTTGTGTGTATTTCATCCAACACTTTGTTGGTATATCCCTTGTTGGTGTCCCCCACTGTTCTGTCTTAAGAACATAAGAACATAAGAACGAAGGAACACTGCAGAAGGCCTACTGGCCCATGCGAGGCAGGTCCAAGTCTCCTACCGGCTTAAGCCAGTGCACCCAACCTAGTCAGGTCAGGTCACATTGACTTAAGGGAGGAACACGGCAACCGACCTGGTAGCACAAGCTATCAGGTCTAACTCACACCCACCCACATCCACTCATGTATTTATCCAACCTATTTTTAAAGCTACACAACGTTCTGGCCTCTATAACGGTACTTGGGAGTTTGTTCCACTCATCCACAACTCTATTACCAAACCAGTACTTTCCTATATCCTTCCTGAATCTGAATTTTTCCAACTTAAAACCATTGCTGCGAGTCCTGTCTAGGCTAGATATTTTCAGCACACTATTTACATCCCTTTATTTATTCCTGTCTTCCATTTATACACCTCAATCATATCCCCCTAATTCTACGTCTTTCTAGAGAGTGCAGTTTCAGGGCCCTTAGTCTATCCTCATAGGGAAGGTTTTGATACATGGGATCAACTTTGTCATCCTCCTTTGTACATTTTCCAGAGAATTTATATCCATTCTGTAATACGGTGACCAAAACTGTGCAGCATAATCTAAATGAGGCCTAACCAAGGATGTATAGAGTTGAAGAACAACCTGAGGACTCCTATTATTTATGCTTCTTGATATGAAGCCAAGGATTCTATTAGCTTTATTGCGAACACTTATGCACTGTTGTCTTGGTTTCAGATTACTGCTAACCAGAACTCCTAAATCTTTTTCGCAATCCGTAATATTAAGATCTACATTATTTAGTTTATATGTGGCATGGTTATTGTCCTGTCCAACATTAGAACTTTGCATTTGTCTATATTAAACTGCATCTGCCACTTCTCCGACCACTGCATCAGTCTATTCAAATCTTCCTGGAGTGCTCGAATGTCCTCGTCAGAATGAATTCGACGGCCTATTTTGGTGTCATCGGCAAACTTGCCCATGTCGCTCTTTATGCCCTCATCTATGTCGTTTATGTAGGTTGTGAACAGCAGGGGGCCCAACACTGACCCTGTGGAACACCGCTCGTGACACTTCCCCACTCTGATTTCTCCCATTTATGCAAACTCTTGCTGCCTATTTGTCAAACCATGCCTCTATCCAGGAAAAATTTTCTCCTCCTATTCCATGTGCTTTAATTTTCCTCATAGTCTTGATGTGGGACCCTGTCAAAAGCCTTTACTGAAGTCCATATACACAATATCATATTCATTACCATGATCTACCTCCTCAAATACCTTAGTGGGAAAAAAGTTAATAAATTCGTAAGGCAGGAACGCCCTTTGTAAAACCATGCTGAGATTCGTTGATTAATTTATGCTTTTCAAGGTGGCTACGAACTGCCTCGGCAATTATTGATTCCATAAATTTTCCCACTATGGAGGTTAGGCTTATTGGTCTATAGTTCGATGCTAAGGACCTGTCACCTGTTTTGAAAATAGGTATCACATTTGCCATTTTCCACTTATCTGGCACCATGCCAGTTTGTAGTGATATGTTGAAAAGATTAGCCAAAGGGGTGCTAAGCTCCTCTTTACATTCCTTTAGAACCCTTTTCATACAGTTCATCAGGGCCTGGGGATTTGTTTAGGTTTTAATTTATCTATTTGCCTAAGGACCATGTCACTTGTGACCTAATAGTGCACAGTTTATCGTCCTGTTTCTACATAATTTATCATTACTGGAATATCGCTGGTATCCTCCTGTGTAAAACTGAGAGGAAGTATGTGTTAAAAATTCTACACATTTCCTTATCACTGTCAGTGAACTGACCCGAGGAACTTTTGAGTGGGCCTATCTTGTCCCTGATCTTACTTCTGTATACCTGAAAGAATCCTTTTGGGTTAGTCTTCGATTCTCTTGCAACTTTAACCTCATAATCTCTTTTTGCTTTTCTAATTCCCTTTTTTATTTCTCTCTTTAACTGAATATATCGATTTCTCAATTGCCCTCTCCTCTTTTGATTTGCCTATATATGCCTCTCTTTTGACCAATCAGATATTTTAATCTATTGTTCATCCATTTAGGATCATTTTTGTTTGATCTGATTTCCCTATTTGGAACATAATTTGACTGAGCAGCTAGAACTATGCCCTGGAAAGCATCATATCGGCAACCATCACCACCCACCTGACCCTTAGTCAGGTCATTCCAGTTCAGCCCACCTAAGTAATTTTTCAGTCCTATGAAATCAGCCCAAACGAAAGTCAGGGACGGAGACTTGATTGCCATTATTAGGGGAATTCCATGATATATTAAAACTGAGTGATTTGTGATCACTTTTCCCAAGCTCATCATTAACCTCAAGATTATTAATTAGTGTTTCCCTACTGGCAAGAACCAAGTCAAGGAGGTTATTTCCCCTAGTTGGCTCTGTCACAAACTGTTTTAAAAAACAATCCTGGATCGTATCAAGAAAGTCACCTGACTCTAAATTTCCTGTTAAATTGCTCCAGTCAATCTGTCTATAGTTGAAATCTCCCATTAGCACAACATTTTCGTATGTAGATGCCTTCCGAATTTCGTCCCATAGAAGTTTACTGCACTCCCTATCAAGATTTGGGGCCCTGTAAATCACACCCAAAATTAGTTTTTCTCGGCCCTCGAGAAGCTGTAACCAAACAGATTCAGTGGCTACGCTTCTAATTTAATATCTTGTCTAACACAACAATTTAAATTGTCTCTGACATACATCGCTACTCCACCACCTTTCCTGTTGACCCTGTCAGTGTGGAATAATTTATAGCCTTGTATGTCCTTCCTGTTTCCACTGTAAATTCTTCCTTAAATCTCATGTTGAGCTCTTCACATACTTCTTGGTCATTTCTTGTGAGCTCCCCACCTTCTTTCCTCAGCCTGATCACCTGGTCTTTGACTGTTGTCTTCCTCCTCATTTGGCTATACAGCAGTTTCGGATCAGACTTGACTTTCGATGCTATGTTGTTTTCATACTGTCGCTGGGCCTCCCTCCTTAACTGTACATACTCGTTTCTGGCTCTTCGACTTATCTCCGTGTTTTCCTGAGTCCTTTGCCTTCTGTACTTTTTCCAGTCTCTAGTGCACTTAGTTTTTACCTCCCAACACCTTCGGGTAAATCAAGGGCTCGTTCTGGTCGTC